TTCCTGCCCTCCCCGCCTGTCCTGCGCTTCCTGCACTTCCACTTGGACAGGCAAGTGCTGCTGGAGCCGCCGGACGCCAGCTGTGGGCAGGGAGCTCGCTGGGTGCAAGGGCTGCCATCGGGTCAGTGCCACCATGACCCTCCTGGCATCTTTTGCAGGACGGAGAGCCGGTTCCCAGCCTCGGAGATGGCCAAGTACGCCTGCTTCATCCGGGAGGCGCTGGGAAAGACGAAGGGGCGGGAGTGCGTGCCCTCCTTGGAGGAGATCCTGGTGCTGATGCGGCGGCAGGAGATGATCTGCACCGTGCAAGTTATGATCGGTACATTTCTTGTATTCACTGATGGTTTATACTTGTAAAATTATGAGATCTGAAATTAGCTTAGAGGGCCGGAGGAACAGAAAGTGATCTGAGGACCAGAATTACGTTTAACAGCTGCTGCGGGACTAACATTTTTTCCTGATGCATTTCTCACTCACTGTAACCTGCAAAACAGCAGCATGTCCTTTATTTCTGTAGGAGACTTTTCATTATCTGCAGAACATGTTGCTATTCATCAAACTGTGCACAGTAAAGTCATTTACATATCTTTACAAATTCTTGAGTATAAGGAAGAAAGTTAGACAATGTCATTTTCTAGGCTAGTTTAATCATTTCTGAACAGACAGTATGCTTAAAACTGAAATTTCCAAGTTGTCTCAGCAGAACGTTTGAACAGCCAGCATCTAACATCTATTGACAAAAGATGATTTTTGACACATGAGCTATTTTTTCTTTGGTAGTATATGGTGTCTGATCTGTGCATGAAGCTATGCTTGTGTAGTAATGATATAACGTGCATTTTGTGTAGACTTACCAATCTGCTGTTATGTTTTGTTTAGGTTGCCTGAGAATGTTTTACAGTTTATTGGTGACATTTCTATTAGAACAACCCCTATAAAACCTAGAACCAGTGTTTCTATAAACTGTTCTCTTTGTCGCAAGCAGCTTCTCCCTTCTTGTCCGTAGCGTGGTTAATGAAAACACTGTCTAAACTTCAACTTCATGCAAATTTTGCTAGAGTTCTGCCCATTCTCTCCTGGCCAAACAAGTTCAGGACTTCACTGAATTTCTGTAAAATATGCTTTATGTCAAAAAAACTCTATAAAACTTTGTGTGCATTGACTCTGTATAGTACAACTTATGATGTAATGTTACATATACTTAATTAGTATTGAGAATTTAAAGGTGAAAGTCATGAGTTCTTGTGAATAGGTAGGTATCTCTATAATAATCACTGCAGTACAAGTGGAAAACATTGCTGTCAGGCATCTCTTCTGTTCTTACTTCTCTCTTATTCCTCCTTTCTTCTCTTCTTGCTAATTTTAAATTTTGTTTCTTTAGTTTGTTACAAGCAGACTGGGGAAGAGGGAGAGGATCCGAGAAGGACACAATTTCTAAGGAAGTGCAGAGATTTCTTTCCCAAGTCAAGGTGGTCCATACTATTTCTTTATAGAACCTTCTTTTTATGTTTGTTCATACTAAAAGCTGGTGTTTTCTACTGACTTTACTACCTGACCGTATATCGCATAATATGAAAGGAGTAAATTGTGAATTTTAGTAATACTCAGTGTAATTCAATCTTGAGAGACAGTGGCTATGCTTTTCAGCTGTGTCATGAAATATTACTCTGTTAATGCTTATTATATTTTAATACATTTGTTCAATCCCTGGTGCCTCTGCTGAAGTGGAAAAAGTACCTACTGCCACCACAGATTGCCAGCAGGGATACATTACACCTTATTCATCATCAGAAATCATTACTACTTTTAAGTAAAGTATGAGCAATGTTTCCTGTAAGTGCAAATCACATTATTATTCTTAACGTCATCCAGCCACTGGTTATCTATGTTTGGAAGTGGGCAGAAGACCCTTTGTTCTTCTCACTTAAATTATGGAGTGTCCCTTAAGGATGGCAGCTACCGTGATCATTATTGACCCAAATATATTGAGTAATAAAAAAATGAAAAGACAACAAATAATGAACACTCTTTTTACCAATGCCATAATTCCTTCAGTTCTGATCCCTCGGTCAGATTTTCTAAAACACACAGAAAATAATTCACTTAATTAAAATGAATAAGTAAAAATGAAGTTAAGAAACTGGAAGTGACACATCTAAATGGAAGAACTCAGACTTAAAATCGTTTGTTACAGATCCCTTGTTCTTGCCAAATGTAATAATGTTGTTCGTTCTCTTCAAGTTGGACTTCATCCAAAGCAGGGACTAGGACAGCAGCACCTTCCGCCTCTCCGTGGAGGACCGGGACCTGCTCTTCGAGACCTCCCAGGTATGGGGCAGCCCCCCCGCCATCCCTCCTTCCCCCCAGGGGGCCGCAGGTGGCCAGGTGCCCCGGGCTGACCTGGGTGTCCCCTCTGGCCCGCAGGTGGATGAGATCGCCCAGCTCCTCAACACGTACCTCGCCTCCGCGGGTGCCCGGCGGCCGCCCCGGCC